TTTTTGATGAGCTTAAAAGAGTGTCTTGGCTGTATAGTGTGAAAAAAGCACATCCTAAAGCTGCAATTATAAATTCGCTAGCACTTCAGTAATCGGCTAATAGAATCTTTAGCACTTGTAAACTGCTTAGAGCATTTTTTTTCTTTTACATGTTTCCATCATATGAGCACATATATTATGACCCAAAGTCTAGATTCACAAATCTCTTGCCACCGTTTGGTCGTCGAGTACATACTGTTTTTTCTATTTCGTTTTCTGCACCGGGGAGGATCCAGCAAAAAAAAAAGTGTCGAATTATCACTGTCAATAGTTGTCTCAGGCAGGCAATTGAAGCTTCACATTGTTTTTCCAACTGCATAAAACGATCTCAGGCTCAGTTGGGGATAGTGACTTACGAAAGGGAAAAATAAAACAAGGGGACAGTTTGATGCAACACTATACCTTATAAAGTAGTAGTAGAAAAAATCTGCATAAAGAGCAGTCTGAACAAGTCCCGCAATGCAAGCTTTGGGAAGGGGAAAGGAAAAAGGTTAGCAACATGAGGATCTGTTTGGGAGAAAATTTATAAATCCCAATATCTATCTGATGTTTACTTACCAATCCATCTGCTGAAATGTGGCTCCGTGAAGTAACGGTAAATCCAGTTCAAGATGTAGAATGCTCGATAAGCCCTACAATGGTAGTAACACATATTCAATAATATTAACCCATTCCTTGGTAAAGACTAGAGACTGAGGACATACTCCCTATGTCCAAAAAAACCTGCTTCAAAACTTACTTTTTGGTCCCACGAACAGAATTCCATTGCAACAAAAGAAGCAATTTTGGTCGAATTTGATGTAAAGTTTCCATGAAAAGTTTGCTTAGTAAGTATGAGAATTTTTGTTTGATAAAACAACTAAACTTAAGCTACAAGTAAGCTGAATGATTTATAAGAGTTGCATCTTTCCGGAATTGAAATATTGTACCTTGATAAAATAAGACTAGCTTTGGGTACTAAGATTGTATATGTTTATGAGAGAGATAAAATACAAATTGCAATGTGCTGCAGAACTAAGCTTAAAAGTATATAACAAGTAAATAGAGAATACCCAAGAAAGGCGACATATTGTCCAGTTAGATTGTCCACATTTCCACTTCTCTGCAACAAAACCAACTGTGGAAGAATAGCAACTGCCTCCAAGTAGATTGAAAACCCCCAAAATACCTACAAAAAAAAATAATGTACATAACACTTAAGTATATGAAATTGCATTCAGGAATGCAATGCTTTGTGGAAATTGTGAGTCCAGAAAAGCTATCACGGTATGCACCAGCAATGTGCTTTAAAGCTACAAAGAAGAAACATCTCAGAAGCTTACACACTTGACCCAAATACTGACCAAGGTATCTTGTATGGAATGCATTTTTTATCCATTAAGCACCCGCACAGAAAATATCAAAACACAGGAGATGCCCATCAGGCATCATTTAAACCAAACTAATGCCAAAATCCATAAATATCCACAAAGATATATTGTAGAGGTTCAGATAGTTCAGCAGAAATAAAGAGGCTGACCTCCAGAAATGTGAATTTCTCATGAACCAACAGAGCCAAAAGAAAACAAACAGCAACAAGAATCCAGTGACGGAAAGTGTCTAGCTCCCGATCATATGACCGCCTAACAGCTCGGTGAAACCTCATGCACCATACAATTGCCAATGAGCTTCCGATAAACACTATCTTCATGATGGTGTTGTAAACTGATATAAAATCAGTGAACAGATCCATATATCTGGCCAAAAACACGATAGCAAACAACTCTTGGGTCTTTCGAGAAATTCCTAACAAATAGAAACAAATATTCAGTCATCAGAGCTACACTAGCCAAAATAAACAATACATAAATATAAACAATAAAAAATCTAGTTGACTAGCCAGCATAGCCAAAAAAAACTCTAGCTGTTAGCTGGAGAATACACACAGAAAGGATGTGCAGAAAAACAAAGATCCAAAACATATTTTTAACTTGCAATGTAATCAATAATTGAAACATTATAAACAATGAAAGTAATAAGTGACTTTGCAAGCAAATCAACTCAAGTTCCTTCACCATTGAACTGATTGAAGAAACGGAAGCCATTATAAGACTTGCACCAACCCCACAAGTACAACTGTACAAGATTGCTAAAGAAATCATAAAGAGAGATAAAAGCAAAGACAAATAAGCAGATATTCTCAAAGAGATGTATGCTATGCTCATATTAAGGTTTTCAATCAGTCTAATGAAGTAATAAAAAATGAGAAAAACAAAAGGAGACTCAGTTTCATGATAGTCTCTTATTTTCTGGAAGCTCTCAGCTGGAGCTAAAGCAACGCTGGTAAATAGTATATCAGAGTTATGTACTCCACATCCTAGTAAATATGCACAGATATACTCATATACATCATGCAACTATGCAAAAGGGAGTCATCTAGTCAAACTTAACTTCAGTTTAGTGAGTAGCTCACAAAAAAAAAATCAACAACTATGCAGATTCAAACATATTCATTTCAAGCCTTGAAGCAAATAAAAAATCAATCATCACACATCCCCATTGAAATGTAAGGTTAGATGGCGAACATGCCAGAGAAATATAAAGCACATGAGCACATCATCAGGAGATCTCCACACGTATAAGCACAAGCATGCTCAGATGCTCAATATCCATTGATCAATCATTCAACATTTGGAGTACTCGGTCCACCTTGACAAATCAAAGTGGAAAGCAAGAGCCAGATTGCATCATTTCATCCATTTCCAAGCATTTTTCAAACATCATGCAATTAATCACATTAACCTCAACAGAGCATAGAGAACATAAACTTGCAAATACATATGGCGTAAACCTCATCCTCTCAGATTAGAGTTTATCAAATGGAGATCAGTTCAATATGATGGGATCGCATGCACATCAGAAGGACCAGACTCCTTTTCTTCACTGTATAATATATGCGGTCACTATTTTGCGTTACCAACACTAAATAAACAGACATTAAAAAAAACCTAAAATTCACCGTTCCAAATCCAACCGATCAGAATGTAAGACTGTTCCTGTACATTTAACCATAAACGAGCCATAGATGAGTGTTGATCGAAATGAAACCTGAGCATGATTTTGTGGCGTAGATTTTGAGGAGGAGGATGAGAATGCTGATCAAATGCGTCATGTCGCCGGCGAGCCTGAAGATGTTCATGGTTTCCGACGGCAGAGTGAGAAACTTGAGCCCTAGATTTTAGAGAGAGTGAAATGAAATTTTAGAGAGAGAAAGCTTCGGCGCTTCTGATGGTTGTGGAGGGAGAAGGGCGAGCTGCAGTTGCAAATTTGGACGCATCACATTCCATTTCCTTTCAATTAGGGAGGACTCATGTCCCATCTTGCAAATTGGAGAAATGTGAGACATAAATTAAAAGCACCTTCCCATGAAGTTGATGACCCCGTTCTCGTGCTCCGTTCGTAAAATTGATGATTCCTATCCCCCTAACCCCCCGGTAAATCCCCCACCCCTCCCCGACCCGAACGCACCCCCCACCCCCTTCAACTTGTGGGGTGCAATTGAAGGGGGTGGGGGGTGCGTTCGGGTCGGGGCGGGGTGGGGGTTTATCGGGGGGTTAGGGGGGATATGAACCGTCAATTTTACGAACGGAGCACCCCCGGGTCATCCCATGACATTGGTTCCCAATGTCATGGGAACCTTGCCCAATTAAAAGTTAAATCACAAAATTTATAAATTCTAATTTCTAAATTTCATTTTTAAAAAATAAATTTTATACTTGGTTTTTTATAATATAAAATTTTTCATATTTAATCATCTACTATCAAATACTGATCTCATTCTAATTTAATTGTCCGTGTTACTATTTACATGATCGAACTTTAACCAAGTTCTTTATCTATGTTTGCTACTCATTTGAAAAAATATGGTCTTGTTATCTCTTATTTTGTAGGATTTTTTATGTAATTTTTAAATGTATATTTTTTATTCCTTACCAAATTTCAAATAAATTAAATTGAAAATAATTCCAATTAAACCTCGCAAACAACAACAAGCGATTCTTTTTTGGACGGATGGAGCAGTACGTTTGTAGTCCTTTTATGTGTTACTTTTTTTTACTGATAATCTTATTTTGACATTCTGTCATACTGGTATTAAATTGAGAGCTAAAATTATACTTCGTATGTTCACATTGACTCTATATTCAGTGACGTATTTTGATATCTTTTTGACGGACAACACAATAATAATGACGCGGACTAGGATTGGCAATTCAATTTTCACCCAAAGTCAAAGACAAAACGGAAGATAAGTTGGTGGTTTGATCCGGTTCGGTTTTACACAAGAAATAGGTAAAACGTTGGCTATTTGGTTCGGTTTTATGCGGTTTATATTTTTATTTTTTCGGTTTTTAAAAATAAAAATTTATAAGCATTAAAAAAATTGTAACAACACTAACTCAATGAAGCAATAAAACAATGTAGCGTTGAGTTTGGTTATTTGTTCGATTTTTACCCAAAACAAAAAACCAACCAACAAGTTAGAGTTTGATTTGGTTCAGTTTTATGTAAAAAATATGTGTCGAATACCAAACAAACATCTAATAGATTCCAAATAGGAGTACTCCCAAAGCATTCATATGTAAATATTTTTTTAGGAAGTAATTGTTGAGCAACGCAGTAGTTCTTGTCCAGTAACGTTCAGTTAGACATGTCTAAAAAATTACATATCCTCTTTCAAACAACATACAAAAAATTATCCAGTAACTCAAAACAATTCGTTCCGGTAATCCATCGTCAGCAACTTAACGGCGGTCTAAAACTCGTAAATTTTAATAAAAATGGAAAGTGAGAATATTTTTAAAAGACAAAATAAAATTGTGATTATTTTGAATAATTTTTTCAAAATTTTAAAAATCAATGGTTCTAGACTAGTTTCTAGAGTTGCGGTGCAAGGAGTCCATCCATGCAGAAATCAACTGCGACTCAAACTAGACTCCTCTTTTACCCTTCTCTCTCTCTCTCTCTCTCTCTCTTTCTCTCTCTATTCTATCCACAAACGGACACTATTTCACGGAATCTCTTCGGCGACAGATAAAGAGGAGGTAGAGTCGCCGGAAGGGCAAATCATCTCCGGAGTTCCGAGAAATTCATCGCATATAACTCTCTTTCTCCCCCTTTCGATTCGATTCACTTCACACACAGACGTAAGTTACTGAATCAGCTCGATTGCCCAGGTTTCCTGCGACTCGATACTATGGGCTGCGCTGGATCTCTGCATAAGAATGGAGATGGTACTCTTCGTCTTCTTCTTTTCACATCATTCGTGCTATTGATTTGTAATTACAGCTGTTTAGGTTTCCGATCGTTTTCTCTCCATGTTCCGTGTCTGTACCCAGTCGTAGTTTCATCTTATTGTGAAGTACTGATGATCACAATTTTAGAATTTCCACAATTGTCAATGCACAAATTAGACCAAATCTTGAACTATCTTCAATTACTAGTATGTTTTAGTAAAAATCATAGAAAAAATGTTGATATAATGAAAGTTTTTATCATAACAAATCTAACAACGAAGTATATATGCATTTTTTTACTACAGGGAGGAAGTATGAAACCAGTGTATTATTTGAAATTGATGAGACTTGATCCACCTAGGTTGTCGTAGCATTGCCATTAATAGGTCAGATTAAACCAGTGCGATATGAGGGATCATTACCAAACAAAATAAGATGAGATGAAGATAGTATTCATTTATATGGAGCATATATTTTTTTCCTTTGGTGTTTTGAGGTGAGTAGGCTTTTGGGAATTTTGTCTCAAGTGTCAATCACCTCAGGTTAGTGGTTGATTAATTAGTTTGTTATTGCAGAGTAAGTTGTGTGTGTGTGTGATTGGGGATTTGTTACTCCACTTTGGACTATTACTTTCACTGCTGTTTGCTGGATGTCTTTGTTTTTGTTGTGGAGATATGGAGTTCATGAGTTGACCATAGAGGCCATTTCCAGCTCTAAACGTTTTGGAGCTATTACTATTTCGGAGGCTAAATACGTAGAAATATAATCCATTTATAATAATCTACATACAACAACAACAACAACCCAGTTGAATCCCACAACAGTAGGGTCTGGGGAGGGTGTGTGTACGCAGACCTTGCCCCTACTCGGAAGTAGGGAGGCTGTTTCCAAGAGACCCCCGGCTCCACCTGCACAAAAATATGGAAGAGAACACAGTATAGCACAGATAAGGCACCAAGTACAAGCAACAAGTACAAACAATAGCAAAAGATTCCCAACAAATACAACACACTACAAAACAACCTCTACAACACCGAGCTATAATAATCTACATACAATGTTGTAAAATAAATTGTCACAAAATTTAATAAATAAATCTAAATAACAATTTTTGAACTGAAAAAAGATTAGTTTTAAGAGAAGTCTGAAAAACAGAAAGTGTTATTCCTCTATAAAAGAGCCAGATTAAATTTCATTTGGTGAACAGGCCCCGGAGTTCATCACACCACATTTGGTGGTATTTTATTTTGGGATTGTGTTGGAGCATGCAAACACCATGATTGATTTTGGGTCGGAGAAGAGAAGCCTTTTTATTAGAATGTTTGATTTTTGGGAATTCAAGTTCCAAATTACAGATCATAATCATTTCAATGACTTTGAACTAGTGATTAGCCTTGATGTGGGAATGGAATTTCTTAATTGCTTGATAACTGGATTAAACTTTGGTGGAACTCAAGTCTAGCCTAATAGACCTTATAGACTTATTGTTAATCTTTAGAATATGCTCTGCAGTTCATATGTGTTAAAAGCACATTGCAAATAAGATCTCAAAATCTCAATTCATTGTTGTTAGCCCTTCCTCTTCCCCAAATTGGGTTGACACGCTCACGCACCAGGAGTTGAAACCTTTATTATCAAATAATTGTCTATATTTAACTAACACTATAGACTCATGTCAAAAGCATAGTGGCAACATCTTATGAAAGAATAATGTGGTTGAAACTCCCAAAGAGGTTTCATATGTCTTCTACATTTGCATGGATATTGATGGTATGAGATAGCTGCTATAGACATGTCCCATGACTCCCATTTAAATAATGGCATTGTACAATTAGCAAGCACATCACGTAACACCATTGCACACTAAAATTTCTGAATGAAGTTTCACTGTACTTTAGATTTTGTGATGCTGCATCTTACCTAAACCTTCTATGTTGTTCGTGAGTGCAGATGCTGTCAACCCTGTTAAGATACGGAAGCCAAAACCCTGGAAACATTCATCAGAGTTAACAAAGGATGAACTTTTAAGGATGCGCGTTGAGTTTTGGGACACTGCTCCACACTATGGTGGTCAGAAAGGTTTTATTTTCTTCCATGACTTTCTAGAAGAATTTCTTGATGATATACGGAGTAGATTCTTTGGATACACATGTGCATCTGCATGCCCCACAGTTGACCTCATGGCTGGACAATGTGACTGCCAAAAATGGTTTTTTTTCAATCTCTTCATTTTCCAAAAAGTGGTTGATATAATTAGTTTTTTTCTTTATTATCTATAGAAAATGTTTCTTCCCATAAAACACACAATACTTTCCGGGGGCAGAGGCGCGTGAAATGTTTATGTGACATGCCCATAAATAAATGCATGTCCCATTGCTCATTTCTCAAGCAACTTCTAGTGTGAACCAAGAGCTTATGCTTTGTGAAGAAATCTGCCCAGTTCAAAGCTGATTTGCAGTATGTTCTTATTTTGTACTCTACATGACAACTTTTCCAGAAATCTGGGATGCACTCAAGGTAGCCATAGAGGCGATAGAGGAGAAAAACATTACACAGGCTCAAGCTATAGTGAACAGTGCTGGTATTATTGTCGATGTTTCTGACATGACAGTCTGCTATGATGAGCGAGGTAGGTTCATTTCCCACTTCCGTCTCTCTTCTGTGTGGGCTTTTGTCTAGCCATGATGTTGGGAAGCCTATACTCCGTATATGGTTATGCTAATACAAATCTTCCTGAGTCTTATTTTCCTTTCGTGTCATTGCAGGTGCTAAGTACGAGTTGCCGAAGTACGTGTTGAGTGAACCGACAAACATGAAACACACATGAGAGGCCGAGAGCTATAAGACCGAGGGACAAATGGGGTGCTTGGTTGTTGGAAATGTAAAGGTATGATTTTAGTCTATCTCTCTGCAGTTCGTTTTGTGTTTCAGGGCATGCATGAAAAACGTACTGTTTTAGCAAACTATATGCATTGTTGTAGAGACTTGAGCGGTATTTGGTTACTTCCCTTATGCCCCTCAAAACTTAGAAACATGGTCAGGTATCCCATATTGAAGGGATCATTATGACTTTTATGATACATAAAAAATTGAATGAATCTAGACATGATGTATGCTCGTATTCATTCAACTTTTGATTTATCACAAATGTCATAATGGTCAGATGAATCTGAATGAAGGGAATACTGAGTAGGAATTCAGTGGTTGTCTTAACGCTCTTCGTTTATTTTTTACATTTATTTTTTCGTTTTCTAGCATGTGCGACATGCGCGCATGTGTACATAATGTACCAAATACAAAGCCAAGTTTCCCATTCCTTTTAAACTCATAAAAAAGTAAAAAAAAACAGAGCAGTTTGTATATACTATGTATAGATTTTTATTGTACTATATTGATCAGTTTAGTTTGTATATTGATCAGTTTAGTTTGTTGTGTACAATGTGATTATTTTTGAACTTGAAAATTGTTGTGTGCAATATAATCTTTTAAAGTTGACTACTTGTATTTTATGTACCTATCTTTCTTAAATTTAAAATGATTGTTTGTTCTAGGGGAAGTAGAGAATTGTTGTAACTTTACTGATTTTTACCTGGGGCAAACAAAACTTAAAAGTTCTTGCTCACTAATACTCTTGTAGAATTTTTAAAATAATTTTTAAATACGTAAATTTTTAAGTTTTCATCAGTATTAAAATATTTAAATTAAAAATATCTTCAAATTGAAAATATCTATGTATTGCTAAAATTGTACGCAATATCGAAGTGTGAATTTTTGATATATCATACAAATGTGTGAATGAATGACTTTTATTAAAATGAGTATAAACCCACATACAATACACCCACCGAAGTTCCACAACCATGTGGTTCGGTTAAGATGTTTGGAGCTATTTTTGGCCCACCCTAGGTCTGAAATATACTACCCCGGTACCTTTGTTAAATTGATGGTTTATAAAACAAATGAACTTTGGCCCAATTAAAGTGATTTATTTATTATTCACATAGTTAAATTTTAATTATTTTCTTTATTCATCTTTAAGCTCATTTAATAAAATAATATGGTATTGTTGACTTTTTTTTGTAAAACTATAAATGTAATTTTTAAGAATATAAATTTTATTTTAAAATTTTACATCAATTTTCATATAAAATAAATTATAAATAATTTCAACCAAATATCTTAAACCGAAATGAGCAATTTCAATTGGGACGGATGAAGTAGTTTTATTTCACAAATTTCTAATAAAAAAAAGTGAGCCATATGTTTCTTCCTCGAAAAATATAATTTTGAAGTATTTAATAATTTTAACTCCTATTTTGATATAAAAATATTTGAGTTTTTATTTATACATGTGGGGTATGCTTTACATATATTTTGATATTTTATTTTTCGAAATTTTTTTAAAATTTTATATGGAGTATCATTTATAATAAAAAAAAGGTTATGGCTAAATCCACACTATACTTAGTTATATCTACTTTTTTTGTGTGTCAAATGGACATGTAACCCTTAATGCTTGTAATATGAAAAGAAAGAAATGGAAGGATAAAGGTGTCCATTTCGTATAAAGTGTAGTGGATTTAGTATCACCCATAAAATAATTCAATAACAAGTTTCAGTCGAATATTGTACTCTGTAAATTGTTATAAGAAGTTTATTTCTTGCACCGATGGAGCATACACTTAATAAGGGGGGTGGAAGTAGTATACTCTATCTATTCTAAATAAAGTTTTTTTCACTTTAGAATGTTTGACTGAAGTTATTTTTCAATTAATATAAGTGAAAATTACTGTAGAATTTAAAAAAAATACTCCTACATATTAAAAAACTATATCAAACATTCCACAAAATAATTAGTCACAAAATTATTTTATTTTATCAAATGACCAATTAAAATGTTAAACAAAAGTAAAATTAAATTGAATTGTAAATAGTAATTAGAAAGATTAACGTGGGAGGTAGGAAATATACTCTTTAATACTCCGTAATAGGGAGTACTAATTTAGGACCTGTTTGGGAAGGGAGCCCAATTCTCAGGTATTTGATTGATAAGGAAAATAAAATTAAACAAAAAATAATTTCGCCAATCAATGAAAAACGGATTTTATTTGAACAAAATGATTTTCGTATTTTTTGCGGCAAATATATTCCACCTTCTTTTACTTTTTAAATAGAATTTTACTACCATCTCTTTCTCTAAGTATTTGTTTAGTTTTGAGTATTTACACTTAATCACTTTTTGCTATAGTTTTATAAATACAGAGTAAATCAAAGTTATATATACTCCGTACTATATTAATTACAAAAAAAATTATTTTGAAAATATTTTATAAAATAATTCTAATAAATTTTTTTGAATCAATATTCAATATCAAAATTATTTAATTAGTGATCAATTTTTGTAATTTTGACTACAAAAAATCAAAGCTAGACTAGTACACAATAAATGTAGTATTGTATATTTTATGGGAAAAAACTGAGATAAGACTAAAACATGTAGATAAAACAAAATATGATATACATATTTTTATCTCCAATATAAGACCAAAAATCATTTATTTACAATTTTGGTCCTAGCTATGAAGATAAATTTTCTGTGTCCCAATATTGATTGCTCGTAAAAGAGTTTTTAATTTTTGTTCCTAAATTGATCACAATCTTCCATTTTCGTGACATGTATTCCTACAAACACTAAAATACCCTCAGTTTTTATTAATATCTCCAATCTTCTAGTCATTGATTAAGGATATTTTGGAAAACGAATTCATAATCCGTAAGTTTTAATAGTATTTAGTATAAATTTTACAAGAGATAAAAAATATATTTTGGTCCTAGCTATGAAGATAAATTTTTATTACTCCTATGTTATACTCTCTGTGTCCCAATATTGATTGCTAGTATAAGATTTCTTAATTTTTATCCCAAATTTGATTACAATATTTGATTTTAGTGACATGTATTCCCATAAAGATTAAAATACCCCTACTTTTCTTTAATATCTTCAATCCTCTAATTATTGATCAAGGATATTTTGGAAAAAGAATTCAAACACTTAATTTAACCTTAGAGTGAGCGAAAAGGCATTATTGTAATGAATTTCAAGATGAAAGGAGTATTTTCTAACAACAAAAATCACTTTTTTATAAATTAAAAAAAACAATGCTAGGGTTACACCAAAGATGAACTCCATTTATCTCTCACTCCTCTCTTCCACATAAATGAGCAACAACTTTAAAAAAAATTAAATAAATAAAAAGTAGATAAAAACTTTCAACTAGGTGTATCCTGTCATTTTTCATCAAAACAAACTTTCGACCAAAAACCTTATGAAAGTGAGAGCATTAAAGAAGTTGAGAACCAAAATTGGGAACCGCCTGCGTTGCTGAACTCATTCGCACCTGTCTCAAACGGGAAAGACAGAAAAGCCAACGGGAAAAGTCCAATCAAACACCGGCCCTTGCAAGAATTTCCGTTCTTGTCTCCACACATTTGTACACATCCCCACACACACACACACTCTCTCTCTCTCTCTCTCTCTCTAGAGAATCTCACTCAGATGAAAGCAACCCATCCATATACCAGTATGTTCAGTTGTCCACCTCACTCCTCTTCCCCTCCCTGGCATCTTCCTCCCATCACTAGCTTGGAAGTGAAAAGCTCCAGTGAAGCTCACATGGAAGTTTTGGTCCTTCTTGCAGGAGATCTGTTGATGGAGTAAAAGACCAGGTCAGTGTGGGGTGTGGATGACCCTTTTACCTTAAAGGGTTTCAAGAAAAGCTTTAAACTTTGTCACTTTCTCTCTTTAATTGGGTTTCTTTTTGCTCTGGGTGTGGGTTAATTTTGAGTTTCGTGTTTAAATTGGGTTAATTACTACTTGCCTTATATTGCTAAGTAGTATAGTTATGGTGATTTTGGAGTTTTTTTAGGAAGGTGGATCTTTTTGTTTGTTTTTGAGGTTTTTTCTTTTCTATATTTAGTAAATTGATATGTGGCGTGAGGATCTGGGAAAGTTTATGGTTTGATACTAGAGTGTTTTTGGTTCTGTCAATTTCTAGGGTTATTAATTCAAAAAAGTTACCATTTTTGGATAGATTTATGTGCTGATGACGACCAAATCGGCCAGTAACCGCATATTGAAGGATGTAAATGGCAGCATTAGTGATCATCTCCGAAACCACATACATTTGACAAACTGTATTCATCTCAAGAACCATATGCATAGTAAGCAGAGCCCCAATAGGTCCCTCATGAGGGACCTTACTGTCCTCCAGAGATCAGCAAGGTCCCTCAGGGATCCCTCTACGAGCCCTTCTGAAGGACATGATGAGCCTCGAGATGGGCTCAAAGATTTCGGCATCCACCGAGGTGTTTATGTTGAACGTAGGGGTAAAAGTGTCAAGCGAAGGAGAAGGCACATGAAAGATGGCCGTGTGAAGAACGAGATGTCTGTGGCTTCGAATTCTTTTGGCCAATGTGAGAACCGGAACGTCTCCAAGAATGGATGTGGCATTCCTTGGAACTGGTCAAGAATCCACCATAGGGGCAAAGCACGTCTTGATGTCTCGGAGTTGACGAGGTTGAAGAATGCGAGTGACGATGAAAATACCCCTTCTCCCTCCCGAGGATGTGCTGGTGGAGCTGATCGGTTCCACGACGACTATTCGGGTGAATTGGGTATTTTTGCAGATAATAATGATCTAATGCTAAACCCTGATATCGACTCCGATCTCGTTTCCGAAGCTAGATTTGGCGGGAAATGCAGTTCTCGAAGTCGTCGTAACAATACTTTGAGGCACCAGAGCCTTACTCAGAAATACATGCCGAGGACCTTCAAGGATCTGGTGGGGCAAAACTTGGTTGCAAAAGCTCTATCAAATGCTGTTGGGAAGAGGAAAGTTGGGTTGCTTTATGTGTTTTATGGGCCAAACGGCACGGGAAAGACCAGTTCTGCCCGAATTTTTTCTCGCGCTTTAAACTGCCAATCTCCTAACCATCTTTCCAAGCCTTGCGGAGCCTGCAATTCCTGCATTTCATATGGTGATAACAGGAATGGTCTAAACATAAGAGAAATAGGGCCCGCGAGTGATTTCGGCTTTGAGAACCTAATGGATCTTCTTGAAATGATGAATGTTTCCCAGTACAGAGTATTGATCTTTGACGATTGTGATGATTTGGGTACCCGTTCTTGGAATTCCATTCTGAAGGTCGCGGATCGTGCCCCTTGGCGAGTTGTGTTCATTCTTATATGTTCAAGACTTGACGTGTTGCCTCACACAATCATTTCCCGGTGCCAGAAGTTCTTCTTCCCAAAGCTGAAAGATGCAGATATGATACATATGCTGCAATGCATTGCTGTTGAAGAAGACATAGAGATCGATAGGGATGCTTTGAAACTTGTTGCAATGAAATCAAATGGCTCTTTGAGAGACGCCGAGATGACGCTTGAACAGTTGAGTTTGCTCGGGCAGAGAATCTCCGTTTCATTGGTTCAAGAATTGGTGAGTTTCGTATTTTTAGGGCGTGTAGTTTTGCCACTTAGGCATTGTTATTGCTCTATCCATCTCTGAATAATTTCCGTTTTAGCCAAGAAAAAAAATGAAGAGCATTTGTTAGTAGACTCAAACAAGGACATATAGGACAAAGCCATTTCTTAGTTTCTATACAACTTCATAAATGACATATAGGACAAAGCCATTCCCTTTGGTAAATGTCATTTTGAGTTCCATATGATTTCAAAATGCACCCAACAAACAAGCCCTAATGTTCTTTTGTCAAAATGCAGGTTGGGCTTATTCCAGATGAGAAATTGGTTGACCTACTTGACCTGGCATTATCAGCCGACACAGTCAACACCGTAAAAAGTCTGCGAGAGATATTGGAATCCGGCATCGAGCCATTGTCTTTAATGTCACAACTTGCTGCCATTATTACTGATATTCTTGCTGGTAGTTACAACTTCACTAAAGAAAGCCCAAGGAGGAAGTTCTTTCACAGCCATGCATGTACGCGTGTAATAATTTACCATCTTCGACTACTATTCCATTTTCTTTGTTGCTATATTCTTCCATAATGGTAAGTTTCAAATGATGAGGTTCTAATCCCAAAACAAATCGATGATGGTCGATGGGAGAAGTAACTCATGTTCTTATATGTTAGTCTTGTTTAGGTTGACTCATTGATGCGGGATTTATTATATAATCAACAATAAGATTCTTGGGGGTAGTAGATGTGAAAAAAACACACATGTTATGTTTTTCTTCAATGAATGATCCATTTTTTTAAACTCAATTTCAGTATCTAAAGACGATATGGAAAAATTACGGCAGGCGCTGAGAACACTGTCAGAAGCTGAAAAGCAGCTGAGAGTATCAAGTGACAAAGTGACATGGCTTACGGCGGCTTTACTTCAACTCGCGCCAGATCAGCAATATCTATTGCCCAGTTCCTCTGCAGAAACAAGTTTTGGTCAAAGTCCACTAGGATTCAACCATGGGAGTAAAGGAAAGCTGTTGAAGACCGAAAACGTTCAAACTCGGAGTTCAAGCAAGAATTACAAGAGCACTGAGAAGAGAGGTATTGCTGATATAAAACAACATAGTGTTGCAGATATATGGCTGGATGTTATCAAAAGGATCAAGATAACTAGCTTAAAGGAGTTCCTTTTTCGAGAAGGAAGGCTTGTTTCTGTTACATTTGGCACAGGTATGTCAAGAGCTTGAAAGTTCAACTTTTGGTTGAGTTGGTTCTTTGGTTGCAAATCTTGGTTGAATTGGTTTCTTGAAAACTTCTTATGATTGTCTTCATGCAGCTCCAAAGGTGCGATTAGTTTTCAGTTCACACGTGACAAGATCAAAGGCAAAGAAATTTAGAGTACATATATCACAAGCATTCGAATCCGTTCTTGGATCATCCCCCGTGACGGTAGAGATCAAATGTGAAACAAGGAAAGATTCCAGGTCAGGTGGGTCAACAATCTTTCCCACATCCCACGAGGGTTCATCGTCTCACATCCAAACAAGCTCCAGTCTTTACAGGAGACTTCAAGAAGAAAAGGAAGGGTCTTTGCAGGCGGCGTTTGGCTCTACCGGAATAGGCGAAAATGAGATTGTGGAATTAGAAGAGACTCCTCCAAGAGAGGAAATCAAACAACTCGACGGGCACGTGAAGCCAGAGGTGAGAAATTTGGGCAATGGGAGTTGGAATAATATGAGCTTGGTGAGAGGGAAGGTGACTCTTGCTCAAGTACTTCAACGGGCAGAAGAGTGTGCTCAGCTGCAGTATGGATGGTCCCACCGCAAGGCCGTCTCCATTGCTGAAAAGCTTGAAAAAGATAATCTGTATGTTCCTCTTTTCTCAACTATTTTTATACACTCTGTTTGGTTCAAGAAATTTGAAAGGGAAAAAAAGAGAGAGGGAAAACAATTTGTCTTGATTGGTTAGAGAGGAAAAGAATTGGGAAGGAAAACAAAATGGAAGAATATATGAACTAAAGAGAAAGAAAACAGTTTTCCTTCCATTTATTGTGGAAAAGGAGAGAAAACTCATTTCTTTCCTTTTCCTCTCAAATTCCACGAACCAAACATAGGGTTTGTTCATGCTTTTCTTTTCTTTAGGCGTGATATAAATGTCGTACTCTTATGAAAGTGTTCTTAAGCAGAAAGATACTCCGTTTCGTTGTCGACTTTCATCTTTCCCGTTTTGGCGTACGGCTATGAATTTCTTGCCACTTTTGGTCCTTGATAATTTGCCCGATTTCCGCATAGTTTCCTCTTGATTTTTTGCACGTCTAAGACTGAAAAGTTTCTTGTATGCAGGAGACTGGAACCGCTAACTAGGAGCTTGCTTTGCTGCAAGGGAACAAGAGCATCACGCCGTCGAAAGGTAACAGTGGCACTACCCATCATCATATTACTTTTCCAAAAAATGATTTGCCCGGCATAGTGATGTGGTTCCCGCAAGACCCGTCATAGCCAAACCGAACGCAACACGACGAAACATGTATTATCCCACTCAATAGCCCTCACCAAGACCCGCCGCGCCACTTTTATGTCTTTGTTTATGGTTTTCACTTGCAAATGTGTGCAGCTTTCGCGGGTGAAGACGAAAGGTAGGAGACCGAGAGCTTTGCTGAAGTTTGTCTCCTGCGGGAAGTGTCTCTCGGGCATGTCTTCAAGGTAAGGGTAGGAAGAAAAACGCACCGGATTCGATGCACACGGAGGGAGGCATAAGTGCATCTTTCCCATTTTGTACTTAGAAAAAAGCTAAAAATTTTGTTTGCAAAATAGTATACAATTTTTATACCTGAGGTAGGAAGCATATGTACACCCTAATAAATGGGAGATTAGAGCTTGTTCTGTTTGTCATCAAGGTTTTAGGCCCCTTAGCCTTTTCGTGCTTTCTCTGTTACAAGTGTTTAACTTTTTTTTTTTAATATTTAGAAGAATGTGTGGATACACCAATACGTTTTTACGGACACCACTTGAAAGTGTGCACAATTTTTGACGATATTTTTGGTGCAACAGTTTCACGGGCACCACATATCGACCAAAAAATGCATACACTGACAAGCGGTGTTGGTAATAATGCATCATCATTTAACCCGCGTGTACATAAGGAATTATCCTTTTATTTAACTCCTAAATCAATACTCTCTTCGTTCCAGAAATGCTCTCATAGTACGCGTTATGATATTTGATTAACGTTATTTTCTATTCAATTTTTATGAAAAATTTATGTAAATTTAAAATATAAAGTTTATATACGGAGTATTTAAAAAACAACATTAAAAATTTTACTGTAAAAGGTGATAAACTATGCCCATATCCCATATTAAACTTTTTTTTATTGTTTTTTCTTTAAGAAAAGATGAAATTGTTCAGTTGAGATCTATATAGAGAAAGAATTAATGTGGCTTTCCATACCATTCAGAATGGAAAAATTATTTTGAGAAACCCACAAAAGAAAGAAAAGTAAGCAGTTGGAATTGGCCAGATGAGATACTCCTCATCTAATGCTATATATATTTTCCTTCACTATTCTTTGAATCAAACTTTATTAATTTATTTGATGAAACTATATAATAATGTCACTTCTAATTTGGTAAATCTTTCTGTTTCGGACTTTGGAGTATTCCCTCTCAACTATGAATAAATGAATAATTTCTCAATTCGATTTATGAGATTTGACTGAAATTATTTTTAATTTAATTTATTTTATTATAGGTTTAAAATTAAAAACTAAAAATTATAAATTTTAAAATTACATCACAAATTCTACAAAATAAGAGGTGACATGATTATACTATTTTATCAAATAAATAATGAAAATAGGTAAAAAAAAGTTATTAAAGTTTGACAATGTGAATAGTGAATGAGAAGATCATTTTAGGACGGAGGGAGTATAATTTTGACTGAAATTACTTTAGTTTTTGTTTATTTAAATATTAGTTTAGAATTCAAAAAAAAATATGTTTAAAAAGATTATTCTCCGTAGTATTTAAAAATCTTACTCCCTCCCGACTCTCGAGGTATTTGTCCATTTTTTACTTTTTTCGGTCAAAAATAATAATAGATATTGATAAAAAATAGTTTTATTAGATTTATTATATACTCCCTCCGTCCTATAATGATCTTCCCAGAGCACTATTCCAACTTCACAGGAATTTATATTTATTTGTGTTTTTTCATGGCCTATATGTTAAAATAAAATATTCTTGTCACCACTTGTTTTATTGAACTTTTGATGTAGTTTTTAAATGTGTATGTTTTATTTTTTATTTCTATACCAATATTTAAATAAAATAGATTGAAAAAACTTGGGATTTTTCTTCGTTTTGCGAACCGGGAAGATCATTATAGGACGGAAGGAGTAATATAGTTTCAAAATATTATTTTATCTAATTAATATAAAATATATATTTTATTTAATTGTAGTTCAAATGTTGAAAACGATTGACTGAAAAAAGTCGGAGGTAGTATAAAACATGGTGACATGATTATAATAATGTAAAAATTTCATAGCGTTATTCTCTAGATTAAGAGTTTTTACATAATTGCTCTCATATTCAATAAATAAAATTGCTATCGTACTTTCTAATTTGCATATTTTTACATATGACAGAATTTAATACACGGTAGGAGTCACGAGATTGAGTCATGGAATACTTAGGTCAAACTACATTAAAGTATTGGATTCAATTGATTGTCCAATTGGTTTTTTATATATCGATAATCTAGTTTAACTTAAAATGCACCTTGGTTCTCATGACATTGGGAACCAATGTCATGGGAACCTTGCCCCTTAAAATGATATTGAATCTTTTTGTCAATAATAACTCTGTTATAGTGTACGAGAGTTTATTGCATCATGACCGCCTATAGTTTTGCAAATGTGCACTGTTACCTCTAATAGTTTCAAAATTTACGTTTTTGTCCCTCATAAAGTCGTGGTTCTGATATTGCTACGCCAATATCCATCTCGACTAAAATATCTTTCATATATTATGTGAATAGATTTGCCCCCTAAAGTTTTGAAAATTGATACAAACGTCCCCTCTCTTTTTTTATTTTTCTTTTTTTACTATTTTTTCATAAATGTTTTTTAATTTCTTTTTAAAAATTATTTTTATAATGTTTTAGTAATCAATTTTTTGTGTTTGCAATAAATATCAATTAAATAACAAGAATTAACATGCATTTCATTTCTCTGAAATTAAACATTTTTATTTTTTATCCAATAGAGGTCTTTATTATTGGTTCATTTTTCATGATACAAAAATTAATAAAATATTCTCTTATTTTCACTAAAGCCCATTTCCCATTTTCTGTTTATTAATTTTATACCTTTTCTTTTATATTAATCAAAATTGAAATAAAAGAAAACATAATAGGAAAGAAAATAAAGAAAAATAAAAGTATATGAAAAAATATTTTTATAGAATAGGGAAAATTAAGTCATGACGGAACTCTTTGGCGCATTGGCCCAGAAAATGTTATTAATATATAATTAACTAAAATGTTATTAATATATAATTAACTATATATCAAAAAAATGATGCTCATTATTCTTTTGGTCTCGACATATTCAAAAATATAAAAACTTTTTTAGACAAAAAATGAAAATATTCAATTTGACAAATGAAGTATATGTTAAATTTTTTATTTCAAACAAAAATACTTTTTAATTTTTTAATTTTTTAAAATGTAGGTTTGAAAAAAATAATTTTTCATTATCTCACACACCAACATTTTTCTTCTCTTTATGAAAAAAGAAAATAAAAAAGAAAAAATAATAAAGAAAAAGTAGAGGGGGCGTTGGTGCCCATTATCAAAACTATAGAGGGTAGCGGAGTTATTCACCTAATATTTGAAAGATATTTTTTTATTAAGAAGGGCATTGACGTAACAATATCAGAACCATGAGGAGCAACAACGTAAGTTTTGATACTATGGGGGATAACGGTGCACATTACCAAACCACAGGGGGCGTTAGTGCATTAAATTCTAGTGTGCGGAGTAGTATCTATTCATACTTTTTTCTCAACTTATTAAAACCCAGAGAGCCACAATGTCATTCGTCGCCGCAAGCCACCAGAGTGCCATCGTCGATTATCAGTGGTTGACTGATCACACTGCCTTTAGTGCCTTATTACACTAGCAACACATACTCTTATATCACAGTATCATTATACTTATATTTTGCTCTTAAAAGATTAAGATTTCTATTTTGATATTTTCATTTTTTAAATCTACTATCTAGGAAGATCCCTTTTTCTAATACTTCGTAATTTTCTCATTGTATTGTTACTATCATTGTCTTGAAATAATTTTCACTTTTTTTAGTTATACAAAATAAATTTAAATTCCTTGTATGGAATGGATTGAATACTCCACATTAAAGTTTATAACGTCTCTCTCATTTGCCTAAATCTCCATCAAACATTTTTTCTTTTTATAATCGATGCGCAAGTCAAACAAGGTTTATATTTGGACGAAAAGAGTATTTCTTCGAGAGAAAGACTAAAACAAGACCAAAAATAAAAAAAATAATTAAAATGTGACATTTCAATTTTTATCCACAAATACAGTTTATAATACAGCCGGAATGGTTAGAACTCAGAAAGAAATTACTTGAATTACTTCGTATAATTTCTTATCGATAGGAAGTATATATGGTTTATTCCGTAGTATATACTCCCTCCGTCTCATAAAGTCTTCACGTTTCAAAAAAATTGTGTCCCTAAAAGTCCTTCCAATTTTTATTAAAAAACCACTTTTACCTCTTACTTTTTCATACCCTATCTATCATACATTTTTTCTAATAATCTATACATCGCATCTTACTTTTACCCATCACATCAAGGGTATTTTTGGAAAGTCAACAGAAAATTATTCTTCCTTATTTTACCACTTTAGTCAAACCGTCCCTATCTTTATGGGACTGAGGGAGTATATTTTAGAGGAATTTACTTAAATAGCACTAAAACATAATGACTTTCTCTAAATAGCACCACATATGTTTTTCTTCCCAATGTAGCACTTTTAGTCATTATGCATTAGTCATTATTCAAGTAAATATTTGCCATCACTGGACATTATTAAGTGCTATTTAGGGAATGTTCAAACTTTCCCATCTTTCTTGAGAGGTCAGAATGTTCAAACTTTCCCATCTTTCTCCCCTCTTTTTCTTGGAGTTATGAGACCTTCAAGTTCTTCCTTATTTCAATACTAATTCTTATATGTATCACCATTGACTTGTAAAATACGACTGTTAGATTTTTACTTTAAAATGTTTTCAAACATAATAATTTGATAATAAAGCATTGTAAATTTTTTCACGCATACTGTATATAATTTCAGGGCTTTTTGAAGAAAGGGATGATTTGAAGGGGAAAACAAAAAAAAGTACGTAAAAGTAGAAAAATCATAGTAAATGATGTACTATAATTAAATAGTGTATAAAAGTCAACAGGAAATAATATGAAGGAGAGGCCAAAGTATATACTCCCTCCGTCCCTAAATAGATTACAATTTTTTTTCTCCATCCTCTCGATAACTTTTGTTTGTTTACGCGATTTCATTAAGTATTTGATAAAATAAAATATTCTTGTCACATCTTGTTTTGTAGAACTTTTAACGTAATTTTTTAATATGTAATTTTTATATCTTATTGACATACCAGTTTGTAAATAAAATGATTTTAAAAAGTAGAAAATTGGGGACGGAGGAAGTGTGTGTGTGTGTATAGCGTCTAAAATGACACCAGTTACTTATACACCAGTTCGTTTGGAGTACCGTAGATTCTCCAAATGAACTAGTGTAAACAAATAACACCAGTAGCACTGGTGTCA